TGTCCACTCCAATAACGTGCTCTTCCTCAAACTAACTCCTATTTATCCTGAAAATCACACCTTAAATAGCATTTTTTCCCACAGGAATCTTTTCTGAATGTCTGGATTATAATAGGTTTCCCTGTCAAATGCTCTCCTATAGCCTTGACTAGCACCTATTTCATTTGTAAATAATCACTGTTAATCATGTTCCCTTGAAACCATAATTTTCATTATGACAGAGGCTTCATCTTATCTCATCCATAAATGTATCCCCATACTTTGCATGGTGTCTGGCATATAGTAGGCTCTCACTAAATATTTGTTGAGTGAATAAACTAACAACTGTGAGGATAGCAACAGATTCTAAGAAGTTATCAAACTTCAAGAAATAAAATTCTGAGTGGGAAACTCTAAAAATATGAAGGACTATTAGCTAAGAAATAAATAGTTCACCAAAACATATCTTAAGATGGGGGGGGGGGGACGGGGAATCGGTAAATAAAATAGTCAGAAAGTGACTACTGAAGCAAAAACCCTAGAATCCATCATCTAGGAAACCTCCTTTTTTATTTATTTTAGTCTAGTTTGAGCTTTTGGGAAACAAATTTGGAGCTCTCTAAATAAATCAGTAAATAAAAGAGCTTTATACTCACACAAAGGCTAGGAACGAGACTAGATAGGTTGACATGTCGTGGTGCAAACATGTGAAGCTGCTGAAGACAAGATATGGCAGCTGCCTGAACGAGAGAATCTGAATGGTCCTGGGTAATTGCACAGCCCACCAAACAAGAAGAACGAATTGTGGAAATAGTTGCTCCATTTCCTAGTAGTAAAAGAAAAAAAAAAATGCACAAAACAACTACTTTATTATTATCACCAAAAAGACTCCTAGAAAACAATTATCTTCTAAATAACCCTCCTTCTGGTTACTATTTAGGTTGTTTCTAAACAAAACGTCTGCAAAGTCCATGGAAATCATTTCGAAACACAATGGTATATATGACAATGATGCACCTCTGTTAGATTTAGCTAGGTTTGTATTTATTTCCTGAAAAACGATATTGTCTTTTAAACCTGTCAGTTTTATGTAAAAGGGCCAAAAGATTCATCATGTCTGGTTGTCTGTTCAACTAACATTATCACCTCTATCATACAGTAACTTGAAATCCCATTTTCCAAATAAGATTAAGAGTAACTTTTACAGTGATAGTTACAGTGATACTAAATTATAGTATTATATGCTGTGTATAAAAATGTCTTAATTTTCAAATATAAGTGATTTAAAAATTTTACCAATGTAAAACAAAATAATTTTATATATGCATAAAGACTAAGCAAGGAAATAAGAGTCACATAAGAGTCACATTCTAATTTGAAATATGCATTGCCACATTGTCATCATATCCGAAAGCACTCGGTAAATACATAATCAAAGGCACATATTGATTCTCTCCATATCCTTCTGATATTCACTTAAGATAGAATTATCAACTTTCTCAAAGAGGACACTGAGTCCAAAAAAGAGACATGTCTAAATCACACATTTTTTTTTTCAATTCCTAGCATTTTTTCTTAAGATCTTATTTCTACTTCTTTCTTTTTAAAAGTATCTGTCCATAGCAGTTAAAAATGCAAGCAGAAGAAATGGATCTGGGCTTCATCTCTGACTCCAACTACTCACTGTATACTTGGAAAAGCTTTTAATCTCTCTCAGACTCAGTATTTCATCAGTAAAATAGATATTTCTATGTCAGGATTACTGTCAGAATTAAGTGAAATAATGTTTAAGAAGCTTTACCCATTGAAAGGACTTAATAAATGCTGAAATACATTTTTTAAATAAAGCTTGACCCATTGAAAGCACTTAATAAAAGCTGAAATATTCAGGATAAATTCACAGTAATTTGCTGATGTGAGTGTTTAATTTAGCCATTAGTTGAATTATTTCAGTGGAATTGGAAGGTAACAACATAGACCTTAGAATCATAAATCTGCTACTCGGTTCAGTAATTCTAGGCAAGTTACTTATCATCCCTAGGCTTGCTTCCTCAGGGAAAAATTAGATAGTATTATCTACTTTATGGCAGTCGTTTTTTTAAAACTATGCTCCTGATACTTAAAGTTCAAAAAAATAGTGAAACTAAAGTCCATGAAGAAAAGTGAATGATTCTCCAGGCCAAAGGAATCCACTTTTATCTTTATCTTCATTTAGAAATGTCTTCTCTGTTTAAAACTTCAAAAAACACTAAGAGTCAGGTTTATTGTAGAGATTTAATAAAATAATAAGTAAAAAGCAGATTTCCAGTCCTTCCGTAAGGTGCAAGCATTTAATACACAGTATGATTATTATTACAACATTTCTTTAAGCAACATGATGATGACATTCAGGAAACTGAAAGATAGCAATTATCTGCCTAGTTCCTCTAATTTAAGATGAGCTTACCTTGTAGTTCAGGGCCAACAGTAGTGATTATAGCACCCAAGCATCTACCCAAACACTGATGAACTTCCATATGTGAGGGTGGAACTGTCAACAGCAAGGTAAGAACTAGAGACAATGTTGGTTCCACATACCCACGGTACATGGGGCCACTAGAATCCACTATCAAAGCCAGTGAATGAAGAGACCATGTCTGAAATAAAATATATTAATTTTATATTAAATTTTAGTAAATATTATCATCTTAATTTTTAATCAACGATCTAGAAACACTTAAAAATATATTCCTTAAGAAATAAAAGATAGCACAAAAGTTACCAATCACCAAGAACCAAAGCAATACATGTAGACAAACAACTGTGAAACATTATTTTTGAGTTAGGATTCTTAAAACAGAAGAAACAGGGAGGAACACTTAAGACTAAGTTTTGTACTATTCTGTGAAGATATAAACTAAAATATTAGTTTTGAGGGAATGTAATTGATCCAAAGCATAGTAAAACTAGAGGCCTGGTGCAGAAATTCTTGCACTCGGGGAGGGGGAGGGGGGTCCCCCAGCCTGGCCTGTACTCTCTTACAGTGCAGGAGCCCTGCAATCGATCACCCCAAAGAGATAGGCCCCACCCACCCATCCGGGGCTCCTCGATGGTTGCCCCAAAGAGATAGGCTGGAACGGCGGGAACCGCCTCCACACCACGTGGAGCCGTGGGACCCCCGGCCTCACTGTGCGGAGCCGCATGACCCTCCTGTGTGCCACACAGAGCCGCTGGGACCCGCCTCCGTGCCACATGAAGCCGTGGGACCTCCAACGTCAAGTCCCCGCTTACGCACGCGTGTCCACTGTGCACACAGCCTCCTGGTGATTGCTCGTTACGGTGTGAGGGTGTCATGGTGTGAGGGAATCACAGCGTGATGACCATTAGCATATTAGCTCTTTATTATATAGGATGTCTTGCCATAAAAAGTCATGTAGGGCAGTCTTTTAGAGGAGTTTGGTTTCAAAAAATTAAAGCAAAAGAGGGCTGAGAAAATGCTGAAGATAAAAGAAGAAAGATAACTAGCACCTATACTCTCTTTTTTTAAAAGAAATTTTTTAAATATATTTTATTGATTTTTTACACAGAGGAAGGGAGAGGGATAGTTAGAAACATCAATTAGAGAGAAACATCAATCAGCTGCCTCCTGCAAACCCCTACTGGGGATATGCCCGCAATCAAGGTACATGCCCTTCACCGGAATCGAACCTGGGACCCTTCAGTCTGCAGGCTGATGATCCATCCACTGAGCCAAATCGGTTAGGGCTATTCTCTCTTTTTTAAATCCTTAACCACAGATATGTTTTTATTGATTTTAGAGAGGAGGGGGGAGAAAGAGAGAGAGGAAAAAACATCTCCGTGTGAGAGAGAAACATCGACTGGTTGTCTCACAAATGTGCCTGCAACCTAGGTATGTGCCCTGACGAGGAATTAAACTCACAACTTTTTGGTATACTGGATGATGCCCCAACCAACTGAGCCACCCAGCCAGGGCAGTAGCACCTACTTTTTGATATAAATGAAGCAAGCAGCAACTGCCTGGGTAAAATAATTTTTCTTCCAAACTAGTATAAAACAGCATTAAAAAAGTAGTGTGGCACCTCTTAAGGAACAAGATTACTTGATTTTGATTTTTAACACTTTTGGGAATTTTGTGCTTTACATAGCTAGAAACCTTTACCAAGAAGTCTAAGGCAAACTAAACCTATAGACTAGTTGAAATTTAATAACTCGTTTGGGAGGAGTGGATTTAGTGTCTTTTATCTAATCCTAAAGGAACTCATTCATCATCTCAACAAACTAATGGCAAGTAGTAATAAAATTGAACTTGTGAGTTCCAATATGAAGCTGGCAAGTTGGATGCTAATGCATTTATACATTATTAATATTTTCAGGTGCTTCAATGTGAAGTGGTAAATCAAGAATGCAGTACATCTTTGCATACAGAAGTTCTTGACTCTCAATGTAGTTAATTCTATTTGTATTTGTAAACAAACAAAAAATTCAGAGTACACTTGAAAATTCAACCAATAACCCTGGACCTGGGTTGGGGTATTAGAAAAGGGGAGAGAGAGAAGGCTGGATATTTAAAAAAAAAAAAAAAGATCTAATAAAGGTAAGAAAATGCAGAAAAGAGAAAACAAATACAATGGATGATAAATAACAACAAGAAAATACGTTTAAAGAAATGTATGTGGAATGGATTGAATTCCCAAAATAAGACAGTTTTAAGATTAGGTTAAAAAACAAAATCCTGTTATATGCTGTTACATAAAACAAAATGACAAAAAAAGATCCTAATACATTTTTTCTACCAACCTATTAGAATGATTACAATTTTATACAGCAAATCATTTTCCTAA